TAAACCCTAAACCCTATAGCAACCTGCAGAGGCCGCCTTCACCCCAATGAGTGCTGTGATGGAGCCGGGTCCCCTCTCGCGCGCCTCTTCGGTGCCACATACCCTGGCCATGCGGAGGCAGAGTTATACTGGGGTTATACTGGGATAACGGAAAAGAAAATGGAAACTACCTTTTTAGGGTTTAGGGTTTAGGGTTGGGCTTATTATATAGGGATAATGGAAAAGAACATGGAAACTATTATATTCCATTAGAGAACATTTTGGGCAATATTGGGCTTATATTGGGAGGGAGAATGGAAAATCAAATGGAGACTACTATTCAGGGTTTAGGGTTTAGGGTCTAGAGCCATGCAGAGGCAGAGATGTCAGCCGGGGAAATCTTGGGAGTCGACCATGGTTTTCATGTTAATTACCCAGAACCCTAAAGGATCCAAAAACTGGAACCCCCTAATAATCCCCTAGTTTCTACAATGTACTAATGGGTTCATGTTGGTGTGTTCCATTTTTTGGATCCTTTTGGGGGGTCTGGGTAGATACTGTTAGCATTACGACTACTTATAGCATTATTTGTATTTTATTACTGCCATTGTTACCATGATTTGAAGGGGAAGTTTTGGGAGTTACATCGGGATAACATGGGGTGTACTGGAGAATCAAAGGTAAAGAACATGTAAAACTATATGGGCCTTATTGTGCAGGGTGTTGGGTAGGGATTAGATAGGGTTCGAGGATATCCTCCCAATAATGGAGAACCACATGGAAAAGCACATGATGGACAACGAAAGAAAGCTGGAGTTTGTATATGTGTTATCTTACTGGGGGTTAGTAGCGCAGAAGGGAAAAGAAACCGCATAAAATCCCTATATGATATTCCCGTATTCCCTACGAACTCCCAGTAATTTATTGAGGGCCCTGGTACCCTAAACCCTAAACCCTGGTTGGAGAGAAGTTGATCTGCCTGACCGGAGGGGGTACTTGCGGCGGATGGGCAGCTTGCAGCTTGGCTGTCAGACTTAACCGGTCTGCTCTGGGGTTACATTGGGGTTGTATTAGGGTTATATTGGAATTATATAGGGGTTATATTAGGGTTACATTGGGGTTATATGGGGATAATGGAAAAGAAAATGGAAACTACTATTTAGGGTTTAGGTTTTAGGGTTTAGGGTTGGGGTTATATGGGGATAATGGAAAAGAAAATGGAAAACTACCATCATGGGTTTGTATAGGGATTATATAGGGTATATATTGGGGTTATATTGGGGTTATATGGGGATAATGGAAAAGAAAATGGAAGCTACAATAGTGGTATATATAGGGTATAGAATATGGGGTATATGGGTGAAGGACTTTAATCTAAGTTACCGCATTATGAGTATATAGCAGATGAAGGGGTTTCCTTAGTATAGTAATTTTAAAAAATTCCTTACAGCAACCCAATTTATGTGTGCGTCTTTGGAAGACACCAGAAGGTTGTGCAGTACATCTTTCTGCTGGAAGCAGACTTGCTTCTGAGATTCTAAATATCACCCCCAATATAACCCCAATATTACGCCAATACAACCCCAATATAACCCCAATGTATCCCAATATGTTACCTAATAGAATATAGTAGTTTCCATTATCTTTTCCATTGTCCCCATATAACCCCAATATAACCCCAGTATAGCCCCAATATATACCCTATATAATCCCTATATAAACCCATTATAGTAGTTTCCATTTTCTTTTCCATTATCCCCAATATAACCCCCAATATAACCCCAACATGATGAGGCAAAGCAACCAGGGTGCTCCTGATGGCAGCGCTTCTGTGGGACTTGTAGGACCTGAGGGATTTTGACCGCAGCAGGGGATATATTAGGGTTATATTGGGGTTATATTGGGGTTATATTAGGGTTATATTGGGGTTATATGGGGATAATGGAAAAGAAAATGGAAACTACTACGTTATAATAGTGGTTGCCTAGCTCACTGTTGAGCAGGGTCTGGACTCCTTGTGATGCTGCATCAGGACAATGGTGATGCCTGAAATGAGCTCCGTGCTTGCTGCGCGCAAGCAGGACAATGCATCTCTTTTACGGCTGGGACCGGCAAAGCCACACAGGAGCTTGTCATGGAGTTTTATCTTCACAGCAGCACTCGATCAGAAGAGCTCTGTTGTTACGGCTCATGCTGTGCCAAGTTTAAGTGACAGTCCCCTTCGACAGCGAGGGGCTTGTCTGCAGCAGCAAAGATCCCTGCTGCGGCCTTTGGCCACTGAGTTGTTCTTGACTTCGAAGACGGTCCAAAGAACTCGCACCCAACGAGAGGGTCTAAAGACCCTTTTTCTTGGGCACGCTGACCGTGTAGAATTGGGATGCCATGTCCCGCAAAAGTGGCTCGGCTGACACCGTTTGTTGCCCACCCTAGCATGCACATTGCGCTTATTACTTCAGCGCTCGCCGCTCCTTTTCAGTCTCTGTCTGTGCACATTCTACAAAAACCGACTCGCAAAGCAGACAATCTCCGCTCAGCAAATTATCATATTTTCCCAAAATAGGGGACCCTAATGTAGACCTCAAAATGCTATAGTATTGAAACCCCTAAAAGGTATCCCTAATATTCTCAAACCCTAAACCCTATATCCCCTATTGAACCCCCATCTCACCACTATAAACAACTTTAAAGGTACCCCTAATTTTGGGAGACCTCCTTATGGCACCAGCTGCAATGGGACATCCTGCATCCATAGCGGACTGCCGCTCGACTGAACTTTGAGGCTGGGTTTAGGGTTTAGTTTGCTGGCCATAAGCTACGGACAGCGATGCAGAAGCCCTAAACCATATACCCTAAACCCCATACCCTAAAATCTATGCCCTAAACCCTAAACCCTGTACCCTAAACCTAAACCGTAAAACATTGAACCCTATACCCTGAACCCTTACTTCCTAAAACCCCTAGGTCGCTGCCCCTTCACAGCCAAAAGCCTTGGCTTTGGAGGGGCTCATGCGTGTGGCCGTGCGCAAGTTTGACCACCGCAACTACAAGACCGACATGCTCGTCTTTGGGAGGGCTCACCGATGGCAGTCCCTGCGGACAGAAAGGCCCAGCAAGGGGCTGTTCCATCTCCAAGTTGAGCTATAAGCTAACCTCCTTCAAGGGGTTATATAAGGGAGTATATAGGGATTACTGTAGGGGATATTAAGGGGGATGCTAGGAGTTTTTAGAATATGGCTCAGTTGTTCAAATTCGAATTTAATCTGCAGCTAGATGGTCTGCATTTGGGAAGAACTGCAACGTACGCATTGGACCGTTCAGAGCTGGGCGCAGCAGCTGAAACAGCATAGTCACAACTGCATGCTACTCGGCCTTGCCCTGAGCACAGTTGAAACAGTATCCCCCAATAATGGAGAATCAAATGGAAAAGAAAATGGAAAATGAAATGGAAACTGCTATAATATATAGGGTTATATAAGGATTATCTCAGTCCTCTTTGATGTTTCTCCTCCTCTAAATATCCTGAAGCGTGCATGGTGCAGTCACAGTGGAGCAATACCTCTTCTTGAACCCTAGATTCTACAAAAAAGTACCTAGGTTGGGGAATTCTAAAGTCTATAACGTCCATAAGTATTACCCACTTTGGGATCTAAAGTCCACCCTAAACCCTATTCCTTCCCTAAACCCCTAGATTGCCTGCTTGAGATTCCTCTGGGAGGCCCTCACGGCTCTGCTTCGCGACCGCTCCGCCACGGCAAAGAGCCAGGCGCAGGCGGTTCCTCTGCTCTGGAGTGGATCCGGAGGTTTCCCAAGTTAGGGGTTCACAGGGGTAATATACGGGTTATTTTGGGATAATGGAAAAGAAAATGGAAACTACTATTTAGGGTTTGGGGTTTAGGAGTTCCGAAAATTAGGGGTACGTTTTGGGGGTCCCTATAATAAGGACTATAGTATTTTAGGTTCTATATTGGGTTCCCCTTATTTTGGGAAACTACCATATATATATATATATATATCCCCATAAGACTCCTATATAAAACTCGCAAAACCACATAGAATCTGTAGGCCTATAAACCC